TATATTTATATGAAGTGCCAACAGTAGGTAAATTCATAGAGTCAAAAATTAAAATGGTGCCCAAGTACTTGGCCCCTGCACCCATATGGGAGATCCGGAGAAAGCTCTAGGCTCCTGGCTTCTGACTGGCCCAGTCTCAGTAATTATGGCCATTTGGAGTGGGGGCTGAATCAGCGGATGGAAAGACCTTTCTTTCTCTGTCTCTACCTCTGTTTCCATAACTCTGCCTTTCAAATAAACAAAGATAAATATTTTTTTTAAAAAAGTACAGTGGACTATATTAGTGGCTTTGGGGAGGGAGAAATGAAAGCATAATTTATCAATGGGTACAGAGTTCCTGTTTAGGGTGATGCAAACATTCTGGAAATGTAAGATGGCAATGGCAAACAACACTTATTGACCCTTCAGCCATACACTTAAAAATTATTACAATGGCAGACAGGGTACACCATTGTTGCAAAGCTGACATCCCATATTGGAGTCTCAGTAAAGGTTCAGGCTGTTCTTCCAATGCATCTTTGTGCTAATGCACCTGTGAAGGCAACAAAAGATGCCCCATGTGCTTAGAGACCAGGTGAGAGTCCTGGATCTGGTCTTTACTCTAAGGCAGCCCAGCATATTGTGACTTTGTAGGGAGTGACTCAGTGACTAGAAGCACTCTCTTTCTCTCCCTCTCTCTTTTTCAATTTGCCTTTTAAATACATAGGTAAACCTTTTTTTAAAGATTTATTTATTCATTTATTTGAGAGGTAGAGTTTACAGACAGTGAGAGGGAGAGACAGAGAGAAAGGTCTTCCTTCCGTTGGTTCACTCCCCAAATGGCCGCTATTGCCAGCGCTGTGCCGATTCGAAACCAGGAGCCAGGTGATTCTTCCTGGTCTCCCATGCAGGTGCAGGGGCCTAAGCACTTGGGCCATCTTCCACTGCTTTTCCCAGGCCTCTGCAGAGAGCTGGACTGGAAGAGGAGCAACCGGGACTAGAACTGGCACCCATATGGGATGCCAGCACTGCAGGCGGAGGATTAACCTTCTGTGCCACGGTGCTGGCCCCAACCTTTCATTTTTTTAAAGATGGCAATAAATAAATATGTTGTCCTGTAAAAGAAAAATCAGGTTAAAACTGGAGAGATCTGAATAAATGAGGGAATACATGTTAAAATATTCTAAAACTGTCATTAATTATGAAAATGTATCATATTAATGTGAATATTTTTAAGATCTATTTATTCATTTGAAAAGCAGAGAAACATACAAACATAGAGAATTAGGATGATAGAGAAAGAGAGAGAGAGAGAGAGAGAGGGAAATATCTTTTATCTGCTGGTTTACTCTCCAGTTTGTCACAGCAGGCAAGGCTAGTGTAGGCTGAGGCAGGAGGCTAGAACTCCATTTTGGTGCATCACAGGGCTAGTTAGGACCCAAGAACTCAGGCCAGCTTCCATTTCCTTTCCCAAGTACATCATCAGGAAGCTGGATTAGAATCTGAGCAGTCAGAACTTGAACTGGTACTCCAATATGGAATGCTGGCATTCCAAGAGGCATCAGGAGGCCAGCGCCATGGCTCAATAGGCTAATCCTCCGCCTTGCGGCGCCGGCACACCGGGTTCTAGTCCCGGTCGGGGCACTGGATTCTGTCCCGGTTGCCTCTCTTCCAGTCCAGCTCTCTGCTGTGACCAGGGAGTGCAGTGGAGGATGGCCCAAGTGCTTGGGCCCTGCACCCCATGGGAGACCAGGAGAAGCACCTGGCTCCTGGCTTCGGAACAGCGCGGTGCGCCGGCCGCAGCGTGGCAGCCGCGGCGGCCATTGGAGGGTGAACCAACGGCAAAAAGGAGAACCTTTCTCTCTGTCTCTCTCTCACTGTACACTCTGCCTGTCCAAAAAAAAAAAAAAAAAAAAAAGAGGCATCAGGGTTAACCCACCACACCACAATAGTGGCCTAGTGTGAGATATTAATAATAGAGCAAACTGTATGTAGGGCATATAGGAACATTCTAATTATCTTTTTCATTTTTAATTTTTCGTTAAATCTAAGAGTACATTCTTTCCTACAAAAATCTTTGGGCTGTTCTGTTGAGTTCAATGTCCCTACATGAACATATTCAAATAGTAAGTCCACGACTATTTTAATTAGTGCTTTTGCTTATGTAGATTACATGTTTTATGAACTTCCCATGGCACAAGAGGGGTCCTCAAAAGGTTTATTAAAAAAAATGGGAAACATATGTATAGACGGCAAATTGTATTGCATCACAATAAACTTATTTTTTCATTCCATTTTTCTACAGACTTTTAGAAATTCTCACATGTTGTAAGGTGGGTTTTAGTCAAACAAACATTGATATCTTGGAATTTTGAGTTAGTAAGAAATGAGTTTCATTGCAAAAGTATTTGTACCTGGTTAGCATCCCTTCAAGTACCCTTTTCAGCTACAAATCAGAAAAGTATTATAATACATTGAGAGCTTACACAGTATAAATTGAAAACTTTCTGTTGAAAGGGATATCTGAAAGCATTGCCTTTCACTAGAATAGTTTCATGCTGATGTAATAACATGTACATCCAGTCTTTTTGAATTGCTACAGTGTCTGAAACAATTTTTCCAGAGTATGGACTTTTATTAAACTTTCTCTTGAGCATGCCACAAGTATTTTGTTGTGCTTGTCAAGTGTAGGGTCGTCTGAGAAATCCAGCTTAAATAAATACAAGTTGTTTATTTTGGTATTATATTTAAAAAATATAATGAGAGAAAATTAAGATTTAAGAGTGGATATAAAATCAACTAGGAACTAGGATTCCATCTTAGCTTATATCCATCTTTATACTGTTATTCAGCTAAGATGATTAAATAGTGCCATTGGTTCTATACACTGTATATATGAAACAAATTCAGTAGGCTTTACAATCTCTGTATAGAAATTGGAATTTTTTTCTTTTTATTTCTATTGTCACTTTAATTCTTATATTTTGATTCTGTAATAGTATTGTTCTTGTGATGAGCAATGTCACAAAATACCATTATTCAAGTACAAAACTATATATTTATCAGTTTTTAAGACACTTTTCTAAATTGCAATGTCCCTTGAAACAAGGTTTTACAAAAACATATTTTATCGAATTGAGGTGAAACTGAGTTTGAATGACAGTCATCATTACCTCCTACTAATAAAGCCATGTATGTCCACATGGAGATCATGAGTAATGTCAACTAACTATGAACCTTGGGATATCTAAGCTGAACCTATTGTCCCATGATTGTGAATACTTACTATGCCATTTTTGGTTGGAGATTAACATTCAATTATGTATTTTCATTGTTCCTTAAATGCATCCTTTTAAACCTTTGCCAATCTCATTTTCTTTGTCAGGGTGAGATTATCTTGGTGAACAAATATTCTACCAGAGATTGGTTATTACTTTGCTGAATGAATGGATAAAACTTCCTCATTGAAGAAACTACTTAAAGAAGCTAAGGCTTTTGAGATACATGCTTTTTTAGAGTAACTGATAATGTTCCAAAATTCATTTTCATAAAACATTTAACTGCAGTTTACTCTTTATAAGATAATGTGAAATTATTCACATGTCTGTAAATGCTCACTTAGCCATATCTATGTTTTTTTCTAACACAATTATTTGGGAAAAGATATGGGTCAAATACTCTACCCCTACCCCCCGTTTTTTTGCTAGGAAAATATTCAACTTCAACAGCTATGTTTCTTGATATAGTTAGAAACCACCAATAGTTATCTTTAAAAATATTTGTAACCATAATTTGTTATACCAGCATGTACTTCTTCACATCATGCGTTTACTGAGACAAAGATAACAAAGCTGCATGGTATGTAATTATGTTTGACTTTGCTTCCATAGATTTTCACTTAATTGATTTATACTTTGGTATTATGTTGGGTATGTTTTTAGTTCCAGGATCTGTGCCAGAACAAAATGCTGCTTTTATTCTCAAGCACTAGGATCTCCAATGTAAACAATATAAGAAATGATAATACTCAATTTCCACTTATTGCCAGTTTCACCTTTGTATATCTCCATTTTGTTATTTGGAAAGGCAACATATTTTTCTTAGTTTTCACTGTAGAGAATTGTATTTGTGGCATATATTTCAGAAGCAAGCTCTACTTTAAAGATTTAATAAACGAAGAGGATAACTCTATAAAAATATTTATTCCATTTCAATCTCTAGAGAGTACATATAAAGTTTTGTCATAATTACTTGTTCACACTGATGTGTCCTCTGTGAAAGCATCAATTGGTTGGTTTGAGCTTCAAGAGAGAGCTCCAGAATTAAATGCATTAAAAATCACCTCTTCAAATGTATATATATATATTTTTTTGACACGCAGAGTTAGACTGAGAGAGAGAGAGAGAGAGAGAGAGAGAGAGAAAGGTCTTCCCTCCGTTGGTTTACCCCCAAAATGGCCGCCACGGATGGCGTGCTGCACCGATCCAAAGCCAGGAGCCAGGTGCTTCTCCTGGTCTCCCATGTGGGTGCAGGGCCCAAGCACTTGGGCCATCCTCCACTGCCTTCCCGGGCCACAGCAGAGAGCTGGACTGGAAGAGGAGCAACTGGGACAGAGTCTGGCGCCCCAACCGGACTAGAACCCGGAGTGCTGGTGCCGCAGGCGGAGGATTAGCCTAGTGAGCCACAGCGCCAGCCCCAAATGAATTTTTTTTAAAAAAAAGAAGGAAGGATTTTTTTTGTTCATATTTGCATAAGAGAAGATATTGAAAACAGTCTATGTGGAATAATTTTTCCAGATATTATATTTTTATTTTATATATATTTTTATATTTTATATATTTCTGGATATTATAGTTTCTTAACAACAATATTTGATAAAGGAATCTTAATTCATTTTTTAAATGAATAGGACATAGTTCTGGCTTTACACATTTAGCTTTTACCATTTAGAAGAAACCTGCTTCTTGTTTCAAATGTTGATACTAGTTGCATTGATTTGCATGTTTCTTTTTTCTCTTTAGGCTGTACTTTGGAGGTATAAATTTTCTCAGCTTAAAGGATCTTCAGATGATGGCAAGAGCAAAATCAAATTTTTGTTTCAAAATTCAGATACTAAACAGATTGAAGCAAAGGTAAACCCAAGAAATTCATCACATTACATATTGCTAACTTCATTAATACCAATAAAGAAGCAAGGGGGAAAAGCTTAAGAGAGTGAAAAAGCAAAAATGCACATTCTTGGCTTGGCTTGAAAAATCCCTTATGGTATTAGTAGCAAAATTTCACTGAAAGGTATCATTTAAAATAAATTACACACAAGTAATTATACTTTGTAATTTTGATATCTTATGAACTGCATTTGTATCACAGTAAAATAATGGCCTGGAAACTGAAACCATCACTTGGTGAATTAGCAGAGTAAATAATAATTTAAAATACATTTTTTAAAAAATATTTCTGATTCTGTTTTAGTCATTATTTATTCTCTCCCTGAAGATTAGCACAATTCCTACAGAAAAAATATATATCAATTTTCTGATATACTTATGCATTAATAAGTTGAATGACATGAATGACTTTTGCCTCATCCTATGCAAATTTCAGCATTCTGGAAAATACTAACCATGCTTTTTCAATGAAAAACATTCACTTATTTTATTAATAATTGTATTTATAAACATTCAAACTCTGAATTATTTCCATTCACGATAAATCTGATTATTGTATTACTATAAAGCTCACAATAGCAATATTTAAATTGCAATGTATGAATAATTTGTTATGCTAATGTGTAAGTAATGATAAATAAATATAAAAATAATTCTAACATGAAATGCAACACAATTTTCAACTGTAGATTAAAATTACCACAATCCTGTTATTCCACTTTACCTAATAAAATCAGGAAAAGAGTTTTAGTTAGCACACAGCATCTTCCAAGGTGTGAACAAGTAGGACATCAGACAGTTTCTCCTGCAATGCGCTGTGCATTCGGATGAGACATGTCTTACCATAAAATGACTCCTTTCTTACATTCTTATCTCATGTATCTGCTAAAGCTTGTCTGTTAACTATCTTAACTCTTTGTTTTTTTTGTCTGAATACCCCTGGGGATACCCTGTTCTGGTGCTATACTTGTCTTTGCTGCTTCTTCCTAGAGTGCAATTTTCTTATGGTGGGTACTGTGGATATCACTCCCTTTTACTGATTCCTTTCCAACTGCTTTTCAGTAAAGTATTCCCACTACTCTTGGCCTTGCTTTAAGCAATTTGCTTCTAATCCTTTAGGACAAATGCCTTGATAAGCCTTCATCAACTCTCTTTAAGTAACTTGCCCCATAATTTCCAAATCTCCATTTCTAATACAGCCTATTCCATAACCACAGACCTATCTATGCAGCTGCCCCCTTTCTAGTCCTGCAATGCAGTTCCTTCTCCCTCTCCCCTTTTCTGTCATTGGTAAATCATTTACTTTGTGCTTCTTGAGTTGATCCTTAGCGTTTCTATAAAATAGTGCATTAGCATCATTAAGAATTATTCCCCTTTATCTCTTGGTAGATTTCTCAATCTTTCAAAGCACAGTCCACATCTTAATATTGGTGAATAAGAATTTTAGAAATCTTAAACTGCTTTTCTGGTCGCATTAGCAGGGTGCTGTATGTAAGGTGGAACAGCAGGGATCTAAAGATGCTCACATAAGATACTGGTGATGCAGGCACTGGCTTAACCTGCTGCACCACGATGCTATCGCCTTACGTCCTTTTCTAATTTGTGTAGTTTTGATAAGTATTGTATTAGGCTTTAGTTTTAGAAAAGATATTTGGTTGAATGTGATTCTCAGACTTATACAGGAAGCAAGTTTGGAATAGTGAGAAAAAAATTTAAAAGTAATGAATGACAGACTTGTGGTGAGTTACTGGATCTATTTAAAATCAGCGTCCTTCACTGTAAAAATAAGGGAAAATAATAGCACGATGGTATCTCTGAGAGCACTAATGTAGTTAATGAGGGAATGTAAAAATCAACTTGAGTGTTCAAGCCTATAGAAATGATTAACTATACTTGCATCTACCACCTTATTATCACACCTTTGGACATAATAAACTTTCTGTAAGAATTTTCAAAATTCAAAATTTTCAAAAAATTGAAATTAGAAAAATTACATTCTATAAATTTTATAACTGCAATTTGTGAGCAGCAAGTAAACTAATGTATCATGATAGGAACATAAACAAGGACAATGGTGTTGAGGCCTAGCGTGGACATAAGTTTTCATTACTCTGTGATGAGTCCCCAGCAGTGAAAATTGCTGGATAGCATGGGAAGTGTTTATTTAGTCTGAAAGAAATTTGCGTTATATTCCAGAGTGGCTATATTTTATACTTACCTAGTGATATATGAGCTTTTTTTTTCTCTATATCTCTGCCAGTATTCAGTATTGCCACTTTATTTCTTTTAGTTTTTCTTATAATACTCTTAAGGTGCATTTCTCTAATGTCTAGCAATGATAAAGACCTTTCAATGGGCCTATTTTCTGACCGTATATCCTCTTTGGTGAAACATCTTTTCCCAGGTGGTTTACCCATTTTCTATGTGTATTGTTTGTTTTTTGGTGCTGCTTTTGTCCTTATTGTTTTAATGATGTTAAAGCCTTTCCAAAAAAACAGTAGTTTTCTTTCATTGACTTTCTAACTTTCTTCTTTTATCAATTTAGTAACTTCTAGTCCTTAATCATTTCCTTATTTTTTATTGATTTGATATTATGTTACTCTTTTTCTAATATCTTAACAATTGAAATATTTATTTTTGATATAAGCATTTATGCTATAATTTCCTTTGGCTTTAGATTGCCCTCATTGAAAAATTTTATATGTCATATTTATATTTTCATCAGTTGAATTTTTTTTTAGTTCTTTAAGGCTTTTTCATTGGCCTCTAATTAGATTTTTCTTTTTCGTTCCTTTTTTTAGTACACCTTATTTTAGAGCAGTTTTAGATTCACAGCAAAATTGAGAATAAGATGCAGAGATTTTCCATGTAAACCCAGCCCCAATATATGTCAACATCACCAGCAATGTGGCACAATTGTTAGAACTGATGAATCCACACTGACATATCAACTTTACCTCTCTGTAATTCATGTTCTGTATCACTCTTGGTGTTCTACATTCTCTGCTTTAATTCCTGCTTATATTTAACCAAAAACTTAAAACTAGCTTTTCATGCCACATATTGTCCCAGATCATGTGAACTTAGGGATAGTTGCTATATTTATGAGAATCACAGGAGTACTTAATGTCCACGAGCATTCCTTTTCCTCCAAGTCCATTTAAATAGAACTCTTTTACTAGATTTTATAAATTAATTAGAGAATAACAACTGGAAATAGAAACAAATATCACACATCCATAAAATACATGTATAAATACACATGAATTTGCCTACAGACACAGGGAGCTTATAGCTTTTACTAGAAATTTTTAGCTATATTTTAGGAAAACATAGTGATCTGTGTTTATCACTACAACAAAAATATCTGAGATGGGCTTCTTAGGAAAAAAGAAAGTTTATTTCTAATCACAGTTTTGGAAATCCAGTTCAAGATCATGTATCCCCATTGGCTTGTTGCCTGATGAGTGTAAAGCAAACAGATGAGCACATGGTGAGGCAGGAAGCTGAGAGACACAAGGAACATGCTCTTCAACATCTCTCCTTTTTTTCTTTCAATGTCATCAGGATTCATTCTTGGGGCTCCACCCTAGCAATCACTTTCCAATCACTTCCCAAAGTCCTGCACCTTCCAGAATCATTATTATATCAAGCATCCACACTTAATCCATCAATCATTCATCCATTAATCATTAACTTAAGACATGGGATATAATGTCTACAAGTGGGGAGTCAAATGCTGTTCTGACCATGGTAATGCAAGTCACGGGTTTGCTATCACTTTGTATTTGTAGCCAAGTTGTGTTTTTACCAAATGGGGTAAGTTAATGGGACCTGTTTACCAATATCCATGGAGGGAATTTATAAGATTTAGAAAAATCAGAAGGATGAAGAAGGGTAGGTGGATTGGAGGGAGCAAAGGAGTATGGGTGGTATCATTGTATTCTTGAAATTGTACACATGAAATACAAGAAATATGTTCCATTTATATAAACAAATAAGCATGAAAAATATTTTATTTGCAATAATTATGCATTAAAACGTTCTCATTTTCCTGATGTGTAATCTTGTGGAGACTGTGGACGCTACTTTGGGTGAGTGATTGAGGAGACACCAAATAACTGTGTTTATATTTCCAAATCCTGTGTATTTCCAGTTTAATCTTTTTTCTTTTTCAGCCCCCAGTAGTTGCTCTTGGGGAATCTGAGTTTCTTGAGAATAAGAAGACCTAAAGCTCAATTGTCTGAGGGCTAAAATTCTATTGTATGGGGAGACTGGAAAGAGAGAACACCTGGAAAGGTGGACAAGTGATGGAGGAAGTAGGGGCTCAAAGTGGCAGTGCAGATCAACAGTTCCAGGGAACTAAGGAGGGAACCTCCAAGTATAAACGGATTGTCTACTCTGAAAAGCCGTCTTGGTAGTGTTCACAGTTGAATCTTACAGTGGCTAGCCTTTTTACTTTGCCTTCTTTTCACCTGGTAATTTTCCCTCCATATCTTTTCTGATTTGACAGTTTTGTGGTATTGAACAATAATCTATTTTCCAAATATACCACGGTTTACATAACCATTGACCTACTGAAGGAAATCTTGGTTGCATCTAATTTTTAGTTACTATGCTTAAAGGTGCTCTAAGTGTCTGTGTTTAAGTTTTTTGTCAGTACATTAATTTTCACCTCATTTGGGTGAATACCAAGAGAGTGTGATAGTTGGATCTTATGATATGAGCATATTTGGTTTATAGGAAACTGCCAAAGTGTCCTGCAAAGTTAGTTTTTCATTCCTGCACCCCCAGGAGTGAATGAGTGCTCCTATTTATGTACCTTCTCATCAGCAATTAGTGGTGTCAGTGTTATGGATTTTCACCAATCTAATAATTCTGTAGTGGTATCTTGTTTTAATTTGATTTGTATATTTTTGATGGCACATATGGTAGAGCAACTTTTAGTGTGCTTATTTGCCATG